CATCACAGCTCACAGCAACCTCTAGCTCCTGGGCTCAAGCGAGTCTCCTGCCTCAGCCTCCCAAGTAGCTGGGACTACAGGCACCCGCCACAAGGCCCGGCTATTTTTTGGTTGCAGCCGTCATTGTTTGGCAGCCCCGAGCTGGATTTGAACCCACCAGCTCAGGTGTATGTGGCTGGTACCATAGCTGCTTGAGCCACAGGTGCTGAGCCAGTCACTAGGTTTCTTAAAGAGTATTATGTTTTTCTATATTTAGGAGACAATTACTATTTAAGGCTGCACTGGGATCAGTCATAGGAGTGGTCATTATTATTTTCTAGGTAGAATGAGGTAAAGACAAGATTAAAAACAAGAATGTGGGCAGTGCCCATAGCTCAGTGGGTAGGGTGCCCAGCCACATATTCCGAGGCTGGCAGGCTTGAACCCAGCCTGGGCCAGCTAAAATCAACAATGACAACTGCAACCAAAAAACAAAATAGCCGGTGTTGTGGCAGGCACCTGTATTCCCAGCTAGTTGGGAGGCTGAGGCAAGAGAATCACTTAAGCCCAAGAGTTTGAGGTTGCTGTGAGCTGTGACACCATGGAAATCTACTGAGGGCAACATAGTGAGACTTTGTCTCAAAAAAAAAAAAAGTGATAGGAAGAAGTTCAAGATATATAAAATACATACCACAACAAAGTGATGAGGCATGGTTAGTAAAGGATAAAGACATTTTTAAAATTGTTTTACTCCAAAGGTCAAGAATGAAATAAGCAAAGGAACTTTTACGGGTCCCTTGACATAGCCTTTTGACTTAAGAGTGTAAGTTTCTTGTGGGTAAGGGCTCTCTTATTCATTTGGGTGCTTCTGAAACACATAAACCATAGTGTGAGTTCAGTTCATTGAATATTCATTTAATTCAATGATATATTGTGTTGTTATAGCAATGTCCCAGCTGTCAAGCTTCATCTCATGCAAATAAAATAGAATTGTCTCCATACTATCTATTTAAGCAATGGACCGTACTCAAAAAGTAAACTACTTAGGATATTAGCAGCCACTGATATATTGTGTTGTTATAGCAATGTCCCAGCTGTCAAGCTGCATCTCATGCAAATCAAATAGAATCGTCTCCATACTATCTATTTAAGCAATGGACCATATTCAAAAGTAAACTACTTAGGATATTAGTAGCCACGGGCAGTCCAAGGGTCTGAGATACCTAGTAGCCTCCCATCCACAAACGGAAGCTTGGTTACTCACCTCCTTAACTTCTGTCATAAGTTCAAGAGCACAAGTGAATTGGGGAGGATTGCTCAAGAGTTGTTCTCTTAGATGGTTCCAAAAAACATTGTACAATGTCTCCATGAACTTGTCTTCCGTACTATAAGAAAGTTCAATGAGCAAATTTTTCTATACCCAGAGAATTTGATATAATATCATAATTTCCAAGACAGCATTTAAAATTATAAAAGACCATCAAATCAACAGGCCAGGAGATGCTGTGTCTGTCTAGACTTGAGAAGGGTTGAATAACAACCTCTCATGCAAAAGCATTGGTCAAATCCTCTCAAAAGGGAACTTCATGGTTTCAGAGAAGCTATCTTCCTGTAATAGAAAGAACTATAAACTAGGGATTGAGACCCCTGAGTACTAACACTATTTCTGTACCTAGCATAGATCTGTGACTTAGTTCACATTTCTGTTGACTTAAACTTTTGAACTACACAATCTTTTTCATTTGAGTCTGAAACCTACTTTAAATTCAGCAAGACCCAAATTGAATTCATTATCTTCCCCCTTCAAACCTGTTCTTCATGTATGTTTGGTTCTGTAACTCCGAAAACGAAGCTTTTTACCTCTTAAAAATACAATAATAATGCATGGTTTTTGTTTAAAAAATACAAATGATACAAAACTAAATGAAATAGTCAAAGTTCCTCTCCCAACACACCAACATAACTTGCAAAAAGTCACCAACTATTAGCTATCAGGTGTGTACTGGAATCCTTTTTAATTACTTTACCCTCATCTCTTTCATACATTTGCTCACCAAATTCCATAGATTCTTCTTTCTAAATATCTCAGGTATCCATCCTTACCTACTATCATATCCTACTTGGACTACTATAGTAGTTTTTTAAATGGACACCTGGCCCCCACAAAGTCTTACCCCAACAATACCACATATTTTAATCAATGAGTTTTCCAAGACACAAATGTGATCACGATGGCATGTTCATTTAAAATCCTTCAGGAGTTCACTGTCACCAACAGGATACATGGCCTCTAAGACCCTTCATAATTCTATTCTGCTACCTTTACTACCTCACTTTCCTCTTCTTCCTCCTAACACACTGCTCCAACAGTAATGATCTGTATTATGACTATATAATTGCCTTCTACAATTTTATGTCTCTGAAATGACATTTCCTCTTTCAGGAGAGTTTTCCCCAGAAAACACCTGAAAAGACTTAAGTGTCACATTATCAGGAAAGTCTTCCTTGACCTTTCCCAGGCAGCTGAACACTAACATAGAACTTCATACACCAGATAGGAGAGAACTTATCACTCTACACAGTAGCTATTTGACTATGTATCTCCCCTACAGAGAAGCCTCATGATGGTAAAAGCAGCGTCTTACTCATCTATAAGTCCCTAGCATTCATCTCTGATCTCCACCTAATAAATATTCATCAAATGTTTGAATAAATGTCTGACAAGGAGATTTTCCCTAAGAACCTATACCTATAACCTATAATTAGTACTATTTAATAAACCCAAAGGTAAAAGCAATTGTCAATTATCTATAGAAAATGGATAACCCCAAACTCTATTTCAGCTTCTTATTTAGTATACATTTTTCATTACTATACTTGAAGAAGGCTGTTAATAACACAATAGTGAAATTCAAGCTCTAAATAATATTATTCCAGCTGCTTAATTTACCTGCTACCACCACCATTGTGACGCCAAATCACGTTAGCAAACCTTCACTCTAATAATTTTACTTTTCTCTGCATAACTACCAGCAGAAAAATAACTTGGGCTCCAGGGATTAGGAAGGCAATGAAGAAGGTGGTAGGAGATCTGTGTTTGGGCAAAAATGTCCTTAGGGGAAGTTGTCATTGGCATGGGTGGATATTGTCAAAAGGAAAGAAATCTAAGGAGCATGAAGATCAAGAGAACCACTGACAGAACAAGGTCCTTTAGTAACAGAATCCCTAAAGTGGCAAAATGGCAGAAGCATTTAAGGTGGGAAAATACAAATGCTATAAAATATAGATTCTGACAAAGAAACTTACTCATTTAACTACTAATATCTTATCAGGGGCAGTCTGATGACTCTTATTTATGGATTACAATATCAATATAGTTGAGAAACCCCCCCAAAAGTCTCATTTTAG